CATTGTTATTGTGTATAAAACATTAAAAAACCCTTCAACAACTAAAGCAATAAAGTCTGGATAAGACTACTTCCTGATTATTGCACCAAATATGCTATCATATTGTTTACTTTCACTTCTCTTCTATAATTTCATCGCTTACTTCACATGAGTTGATTGCATTTATAGCATGTCTCCATACCCCTCCCCTCACTCTCCCACACAAACGCCCCTCAGTGAGAAGTAAATCTGTTTTCAAACATCAGCAGAAGCAGTGTATTAAAAACAAAAAGGAATTATAGGTTGAATGAATTGACATGACCACCTGCAGCCTGCTTGTTCTTAAAATTAAATTAATCTTTGCTTGGGCTTGTTTTTCAATGTTACAGGTCATCACGCGCGACAGTTTGCCTAAAAGCGACAAAACCGATTGATTCTAAAACCATTATTACTCTATTTCTTCACTTAAGCTTTCATGCCTGCAGAGAAACGTAGCTAATTAAGAATTGATAATGGCCAAAAGTTGTATTTACATGTTGCAGAACAATTTTTTTGTAACAATCTACTTACATGAAATAGCTTCGAAAAAAGACAGATAATATCACGTAATAACATATAGCTAGTATCACTTAATACACAAAGTATCACTTTTGATTTTCAGAGCTCGGCGTCACTGTCAGAGACCTACCATGATGAATAATCACCGAGAGATAACTAATCACATTATCACATAACCCACGACAAAAAGTCTATAGGCGACGCTTGACTGTCCCGGGAAAAATTATCGACGAATGACCCATGATAAAAACATGCACGTAACACAGCTTAAAACATGCACGCTCTTCTAGAAGACCACGTTTTTTCCACATGCTGAGAGTCTGAGTATACCCAAGAAATTTTAGTTGAATTACCATTACTTTCATGTTTAACATTATAAGGAACAAAAGGACGTGTACGTGTAAAATTATAAGAGACCTTTAGTTTGACGTTCACGGCAAACGCCAAACCGCTAACAAAGTTTGTGTTTTAACTCCACTCTCCTTAAGTGTGCGGCAATTTCGCTAAATTACAAACGTTCTACACAAAACTTGTGATGTTCAGCAGCAATGTAAGAAAGCAATAGGCTATTTCTAATGTATTTAGAAAAGCAGCAAATTCAGCTTTGCCGTATGCGTTTCACGTTCGCCGTATAAAATTTAATGCTTGAACGACTGCATACACCCTCAGCCGTTCAGGCATTGAATTTTATACGGCGAACGTTAAACATATACGGCAAAGCTGAATTTGCTGCTTTTCTAATTACATCAGAAATAGCCTATTGCTTTTTTACATTGCTGCTGAACATCACAAGTTTTATACAGAACGTTTGTAATTTAGAGAAATTGCCGCACACTTAAAGATAGTGGAGTTAAAACACAAACTTTGTTAGCGGTTTGGCGTTTGCCGTAAACGTCAAACTAAAGGTCTCTATAGACGTTTACACGTACCTGTAAATTTTTTGTGACAAAGTTATATTAGACATCAATTAACACTCACCCATGCATATGGACAATATGCCACGCTACGTACGTGACATAATTATTATTTTTATGCTGTTCCAAAATTACATTATTTTATATTTATTATATTTTTTTCTTCATCAGAACTGAGGAATTTTATCCGTGGGACTTTCGTGTTTTGTTGCATACTAAGATATAGTGTTTGGCGTTTGTCGTCAACTTTGTTATCGACATGCAAAGGAAGCATGACAGAAATATGTCAAAAAAATGTATAATAGCAAGAAATTTTAGTTGATAGGCTATAGTCTCGTGTTAAAATCACGGAACAAAAATATACAAAGGATGTATTGGAGTTTATACCTGTACATATTTTTGACAAAAATCAAATGAATACTTATCCCTATACATCATGCTACGTGATATATTATCTATTAATTTTATATATAACTATATTGACGTTTCTATTTTTGAATTTTAATGATGATAGCTAAGCACAAACTGAAAATAAGAACGAAATCGTCGTCGAGTAAAACCAGAAGTTAAACAGCATGGTTTGGTCAAAAATGTTATAAGAGATAAAAAAGTCCGGCGAGCATGAAACTTTGCTCTAGCTCTTTGACTACGTGTACCAGTCCGTTCGGATAAATTCAATTATTTCACACGTAAACAATGGATTTCGTACCTTTTGAGGGATTTTGTGACGACTGTGGCTTACATTTTGGAATTGGTTTCGTAGATATCTATGTAAAAAAGGCAACCAATGTCGTAAACAATCGCGCCATTCCCATATTTTTCAGGATTATTCGTTCGCAGCAAGCACTTGCTGGTCTGGGGCCAGTTGAACGAAAAGCGTATAACGATATCCACCGGACAGCGGTTTTTTTCAATCGCTTTGAAACTGCTCGTTGGTTTTCGGCGTAAGCCAGATTAAACCATATTATTCCTATGTTGGGAAAACTTTTTCATAACTGTCGGCTCCAAATCTGTAATTTCATTGCTTTTCAGGCATGTTTAAAACGGTTGAAAATCGCTTGCCGCCTTTCGTACAACCGGCCCCTGGTTTGAAATAACATATATTTGATTACAGGCAGTTGTTTGAACTAACCTCTTTGATTACATGAAGATGTTTGAACTCGGGGTTTCTCGTACTTTCATCATCGTCTGATGTGTCTTGAAGGGTCTTGCTGTTGAGCTCGCATCGACCTTTATCGATTCCAGATGTTTTGTAATTAACTGACACACAAGATTTATGAACAATGCAATGCATACTGCATTCTAACTCGGTTTCAGCGTGTTTTGTTTCAATGACATGATTCGCCAAATACTTGCCAGCATTTGCTTTGAACAGAGCTTGCTTGGTACCAGTTAAGCATTCGCTTGGTTCTATTATTTTTGAAAGGAAAAATAACGCCAAAATACTCACCGTGTCAGCCATTGTGAGACCAACTACATACGCATATCTTCAACCTAAAGTTATATTTTGCGACTTTCAAAAAAACGCTCAACTTTTTATTTCTTGGCCTAATTCAATAATTTCATTGGATAAGCTGGAGCTTAGTCTACGCAACGATTTGACATTTGATGGGACTTACCTCAACGCATGCATGCACGCCTACACAATTCTTTAGCGAATTAATAATTCCGTTCATTGACATTTCCTAAATATTTTTATACAGTTATAATTGTATAACGTTTATGACATTTTCATTTATAGAGAGAATGTTGTAATGTCATGTAATCACATAAATAAAATACATTTAAAGACTTATGCAGTCTTACGTATATATGAAATCTGTGAAAATAAGAAATTGAGTTGCCAAATGTTTCACTCTGTACGTGAGACCGTCAGGCAATGAGAAGAATAAATTATTGTTACTCACTCATGAAGACTAAAAGAGGGTCAAATATTCGAATATGAAAATTCATTTATCACCCAGTCAGTTTGGCATTTGTATGCAGTTTCTATTTTCGTCGTGTTGTATAGTTACGCGTGTAGGGATCTTGGGTTCCTTGCCATGCATGCAGCCCCTTAACTGTTCCATAGGCTATAACTATTGTGTGAATTGGTTAATTATTTATTAAATCATTAATAATTAATATTCTAAGATATTTGATATGTATAACCAGTTTATCGGGAGAAAGAATGTCATTCATATCCTCTGCGGTAGCGCCAGAAAAGGACTTTACTTCGACGTTATTCTCGGTGTTAGCTAGTCAGCACCCCTTCACATATATATCAAGTGCTTTTCAGGAAACATCTGTATATAGTATACTCTTCCTCGGTAAATATTTAACCTACTTTTTTGTCGATAAAAAATCTTATCTTTATTTTCTTAAAAGTATGTCACGAAAATGTCATAACAGACGTGCATAAAATATGACGTTTGACACAATATGCCTGAAGAATTAAGTCACTAAGTCTAATATGTCGATAATACTCATAATACAATAATCGTGCAGTAGAAAATATATATGTTACTAGGAACCCCAGCTTTTGTGATAATCAATTTTATCTCCAAGTCAATTTGCAATTATAGATCGGTATACTTGCGCGTGTTGAGACTTGACTTGTTGCCAGCTGCTACATGCAGCCAGTCAGATTGGAGGAAATGCTAGGATGGTGGCAACTGCTGATGTGTAAAACTAATTACTTGGAAGCAGGATCAACGGGGCCGAATGGGGAATTGAACCGCTCAAAAGTTAGAATCAACAAAGCTACAATTTTAGTTTCTTCAGTTTTTATTCTGCATAGTGTGCTCTGGAGAAAGTCACTAACTCCATTCTACTTGTTATAGCGATCATTATATTTTCAACAACTCTAGTGCATTACTTTTCATTGCGCATAGTGATTGTCAATGATCCGTTTTTGGCGCAACCACGTGCAACCCTATAACCTTCCTTCATGCATAATATAAATAGTGGACGACTTGCGCTTTCGACTAATTTCTTACCACAGCAATAAAAAGGACATTTTCTGAAAGAGCTTCTTAAAATAAGTGAGGCTGCCAAGTTTGACTCCGAATTGTTGTAAAATACGAAAAATATACGCAATCGAAGTTGTCGATTTTTGTATACTTTTGCATTACGACCGGAAGTTTGTAACTAAATTAGTTACACATTTCCGCACGTAATACAAAAGTATACAAAATTTGCCAACTTCGCATGGCTATATTTTCCGTATTTTACAAAATTTTGCAACCAAACTTGGCAGTTTTACTAATTTAAGTAAGATCTTTCTAGCTGGGGTGATTTATTTTCTTCTAGTTACTGCGATCAAAAGTTAGTCTAAAGCGCAAGTCGTCCACTATTTCCCGTCTATAGAGCAATAGAAACAAATATTTTCGTTATTCTGCTTTCTTCTAAATGCATTTCCTTAAACTACGAAACACGTGCAATGATAGTGAATTAATTCTTATTGTTGAAAATTTTTATGCCTGGCAAATATTAAGTCTTGGTTGGTTTGCGTCCAAAATGGCAAATGATAATAATCAAAGTTATGTAAATCAAATGACAAGTTTCATCTTTACCCCCAGCAACGAATGTTCCCCAGCGTATGATAACCATGTTCATTTTTCCCACCAGTATCCCCAAATCTCAAATTAGTAACAGGCAGCGTATTCTTGTCTGTCAGGTATCCACTATCTTCGCGCCATATGTGATCATTCTTGTCACAATTACATTTTCCTCCACCTGCACAGCTGTTGGTCATTCCACATGAACACTTTCCACTGTCGACTGCCGCTCCACCCCAGTAATTCATCTTTGAACCTTGACGCGATACCCACCAACCATTATCCTTATCTCTAAACAATATGCTATTATGACATTCATATTTTAAAAACTGCTCACAATTCTTCGACTGGTTGATAATAGCAACAATATGCTCCATGGAAAGATCATATTTAATCTTTCTTTTGTAAGAACCTGGAGGATTATATCCGTCCACAAATGTTCTTGCTTCGCTGTTATGTCCAATCTCTGTCACACCAACACCATTCTTTGAAGTCATGTCACAAAACACTTGAACCGTGAGGTTGAGTCCTTGAGGCTTTATGGAATACATTCCACTATCAGCTAAAGGATATTTCGTTCGTAAAGTCGTGCAAGATTTGTTGACAAAATTTGAAATCCCTGTAGATCAGGATAAAAAATTTTTTACTACTGCAATGTTTTTGAGGATAATCTATAATAGTTGCTCAATCCTGTATAGCGAGGAAACGGGAATAATCTTAACTAGTCCGTGGGTAGCAAACATTTGATACTTTTTGAAACTTGTATTTTTATGCCGGGCATAAAATGTATATATTGGTAACAGAACGAATACGATTAATGATTAACGCACTCCTCTTAACCAATGAAATTGCAGTATTTGCCCATGCATGATTACACAAGGCATATAATTAATTTTGAAATTTTTTTTAATATTAATTTAATTCATTAATTTTGAAATTGCATCGCATGAGCCATATGGATGATTCTGACTTTCGAAATCCGGATAGTATGCGATGATAAGAACAAAATCCAGTATCATTGTTAAAGACTGCGACTAACAATATGTGAAGCGAGTATGATTTAGCTACAAGGTTTGCATAGATGAAAATAATATAGATGAAACTCATATACATATAATATCGCAAACACATAAGTTCTGCATGCACGAAACATTGCCGATATGCTCTAGCAATAAAGCTAGGTAAACCTCTATAGCTAAGTTTACTTCTCTTTAGTCGGATAATTGAAATCCGATATAAGAATGCTCGCAGCGATGGAGTGGGGACGTTTTAATTTTCGAAAATTATCTGCTTCTTAATTACTGAAATATATATTTTCGTTATTTCATCCGTAAACCATAAATTTTCATACCTGTAGAGAGATTTTGTGATGACTGTGCACTGTTCGCTGCAATTTGTTTCGAAGTTACCTATATAAACAAGAAGACTATGTCTTAAACACTCCTGCCATTCGAGTAAAAATTATAATTATATTTTTCATCTTCAACATTATTATATTGAGTCATGTTGAAATGTGGATAATGATCCGAGAGATGCCGGGTTTATAGGTTTATATCTGTCAGAGAAAAAAATGTTGTCTAACCTTTTTGATTATATAAAGATGTTTGAAATAAGTGTTGTTGTTCATATTGTTATCATCGTCTGATGTGTCTTGAAGGGTCTTGCTGTTGAGCTCACATCGACCTTTACCGATTCCAGATGTTTTGTAATTAACAGACACACATGATCCATGAGCAACACAATGCATACTGCATTCTAACTCAGTTTCAGTGTGTTTTGTTTTGATGACATGATTCGCTAAATATCTACCATCAATTGTGCGAAATGAAGCCTGGGCGACTGAGCATTCACACGGCTGGAGTATCCTTGAGATTAAAACTAACGCACAAATCCATAGAAAGACAGCCATTCTCAAACTAAATATATATAAGAGTAGTCTTCCACTTGTTTTAGAGTACGCTTGTGACGCTTGTCGTCGTGAAACGTGTGCTTTAATATATAGAGGCCAGGCACTCTTAATTAATATTTCATTTGCATTATAATATTCAGTGTTTGGTGCTTAAAATGTTTGCTCATGTTTTTTTTGTTGTTGTTTTTTCTTTTTTGTTTTTTTTTCTTTTTTTGCTCATGTTTGCTCATTTTTAATCAAGAACACTTATCTCATCGTACAATAGCGTGGTTATTTTTTTCATACGTTGGCAAGAATTTTCAGCTGCTATAAACGTGCAGTTTATAGGTCAGCACTAGCCGCACGCCGAAAACATTATCGCCTCGGAGAGAGAAAATAATAATGCAACAAACGTTATAATTAGTCTGTCTTATTAAAAAAGACGTTGACCAATTTTTCGATCTCAGACTTTTAAGTTAATCATCAAGATTATATTAATCACATCAAGTTGGATGCTTAATTTCTTCTCCCCAGCGACGTAATTTTCCAAGTATTGGATAGCCAGACACGCTCGATCGTCTGCACACTACATCGTAAATTTCTACCAGTGCGACCTGTCCTCTGACAAAATGCAATTGAAAAATCTGCTTAAGTGATTACTACTTGATATTCCTCAAGTTACTCAAATAGACCAGAATTTCGAATACTCGCCTTTGTAATTTTATTAAAATAAGATAAATCCCTCTTATTGCAGGAAGCTTAAGACAGTTACCCATTAAGCATGCAATAAATAATTAAGAGTCATTAAAATTTTAATTACAAATACTTGGGTCTGCAATATTCCATACTAAAGTACAGCATGGTGAATATTCTTGCATTTATTACATGTCTATATAATTTAATGAATATTGATAATCAAAGTAAGGTTTATAGTTACGGAAACGACTGAATATTTTTATAAAAGTAAACAAGTTCCATCAACAATCTGATATGTTGAAAGTGTTCACATAATTTTACATGAGGGTTAAGGCCGGTTTACACAAGCAAAGTTTCTGTGCGCACATATATGTTTTGAACGGGAACACAAAACTTCAAAGAAGCCGCCACTCGTGGGTTTTGCGAGATTATTGCGTGGGAAACTCAAGCTGTATCTGTGGCGGATAAGTCAAAACTAAATTAAAATGTCGACCGAAGTTTCATTCATTTCTCCTGAAAAAAACAAAAAAACAAGTAAGCGCTTTCCGTTTACGGTCGTCCATCTTTGACCTGTTGTCTGGGCAACAGGAAATACTGTGCTTTGACCTTGGACTGTGTGTTTTCCGAAGTTCTGCTCAAACACTGTGCTCATACACGATGACGTCACTGTACGCACAGAAACTTTGCTAGTGTAAACCGCGGCCTTTAATCTCTCCATGAGCTTTCACGTATGAGATGTATAGATCACGTATAATCTCATGATGAGACGTATGAGGTCACGTATAATCTTTGCATGAGCTTTCACATATAATATTTCAGAACGTGAATATATGAATATCATGTAAATATGTTTGAGCCGTTTTATTTCTACTAGTTATGATACCGTTCTACCTACTATAGTTACTTTACGTTAAAGAAAATATGGCAAATATCATGGCAAATATAAATATAAAAGCTGAGCCAAGCTTTGAAAGCCGTAGTTAAATTTCACCCTCCACCTGTACAGCCCAATTTCAGTTCAATAACACGCAGTGTGTTCTTGTCTGTCAGATATATTCAGTGTCTTCACGCCATATTTTGTCATTCTTGTCATAATTACATATTTTTCCACCTGCACATTGGATTGGTTTATATCTAATCTTTTTCTTGTACGAGCCTTTACCATTATGTCGGTCCACGACGGTTTTTTTTTGACTTCTCGCTTCAATGTTAATTACATTCACTGATCTCACAGTTTGGCGGCTTTCTTTAGTCTATACATATATTAGATTTTCTTTTTCCTGGAAAGAGAGCAGAGGAAATTGCAAATGAAGTCGTATCAACCCACATTCATTTTCCACCTACAGAAGTAATTATACATGCTGGTACCAATAACTTAATGACAGACTCCAGCAATGAATGTTTAGATAATATTAAGCTTCTAATCTCAAAAGTAAAGAGCGAGTTCAAAGAAGCTAGAATCGGGATATCCAGCCTTATAATAAGAAAGGATTTTGACGTAACATTAAAGACGCAAGAAACCAATGAGTTATTAAAGGAACTATGCTTACAAGAGGGCTATACCTACATTGAAAATGGAAACATAGATGGTACTTGTCTTAATGGATCTAAGCTACATCTTAATGCAAAGGGGTCAGCGTTAATGGCGGTTCATTTGATCAAATTTCTCAGAGGAAAAAGTCCACGACCAAGTGCGAGGGGTTTTCCGAAAGAACTTCGTCCACTGGAGGAGCTGTTGAAAATGATCATGCCTCAGACTCATCGATAAACAATAAGATGTCTGACTCAGGTGATAAAGATTCTTGTCTGCATGAAATAATAATTCAAAAGGGATTGAAAATAGCCAGTCTCAATATTAATAGCTTATTAAGACATATTGATGAACTTCGTTTAATATGACCCAACTCTCAAATTGATGTTTTTGCTATAAACGAATCTAAAATTGATAATACGGTAACTGATAGTGAAATAAGTATTTCAGGTTATAATATGATTCGTAGAGATCGTAATAGATTTGGGGGTGGAGTGGTTGTTTACATTCGAGAGATACACTCCTTCTACGAAAGGAAGGATTTGAATTACGGTGATCTTGAAATGATTTGTATTGAGATCTCTAAACAACGAAGTAGATCATTTCTTATTAGTGTATGGTATAGACCGCCCAATTAAGAGATGAAATCATTTGATTCCTTTGAAATTTTTCTCAGTAAGTGTGATGCTGAAAACAAGGAGTTGCTTATTATAGGTGAAATAAATTGTAACATGCTAAAGTCACCATATGACTCAAGTACCAATAAATTACAATTTTTGAGCACACTGTATAATTTGGAACAACTAATCAAGGAGCCAACTAGGACAACCACTACATCATCAACTTTGATTGACCTGATATTCACCAATCAGCCTAACAACATCTGCAGTAGTGGTGTTATTGACATAGGAATGTCAGATCACAGTTTAATTTATGCGGTTAAAAATATCAATGTTCCAAAATATAAACAAACCTATTCGAAAGTTCGAAACTTCAAACGATTTAATGAAAGCGATTTTCTTGATGAACTATCTAAAATACCTTTGTACATAATCACACAGTGCATGAATCCAAACGATAGTTGGCATATTTAAATTTGAAAATCTTTTTTTCTGGAAACTCTTGACAGGCATGCACCCTTAATTGACAAAAGTCTTAAGCATAATTCTGTCCCTTGGATAAATTCCAACATCAAAAATCTAATCAGATCTAGAGACTTTCATAAAAAGAGAGCAAAGAAATATAATTCTCAGGTTCACTGGAATATATATAGATCTGAGAGAAATAAAGTCAACTCGGAACTAAAAATGGCCAAAACGTAAACAGTCTATCATCAAACAAAAATTAAGGAAGTTTCTCTAGCTAAAGATATGAAAAAAACCTGGTCACTGATAAATAACTTATTAGGCAAAGGTAAAGATCTAATATTGCAGAAATCAACATTAATGGCAACAATTATATGACCGCCAACAAATAGCAGAACATTTTAACGACTATTTTGTTAATATTGGGCCGACCCTTGCTGCAGAATGTGAATGTTCATCCGATAACGAAGACCTCCACCGTAACTCTAATGAGGCAAATTCACAATTTCATTTTCACATAATCACTGAATTTAACATTCTGAAAAACCTAAACAATCTAAAAACATCCAAAGCCACCGGGGTTGACGGCATCCCTGCAAAAATATTGAAATTATCTAGCAATATTATTACCCCATCCCTGACTTATATCTTTAATCTTTCAATTTTATCTGGTATATTTGTTGACGATTGGAAAATAGCTAGGGTAACACCTATTTACAAATCAGAAGATAGAACGAAATGTGAGAACTACCTCCCAATATCCATTCTTCCTATAATAAGCAAATTATTTGAGAAAGAAGTATTTGGTCAACTTTATCAATACCTGATAGGTCACTCATTGCTCTCACGTTTTCAATCGGGCTTCCGACCAAAACATTCGACATTGTCCTTATTAATACAAATGAGTGATAAGTGGCTCGAAAATATAGACAATGGAGAAATAACCGGATTAATTTCAGTTGATATTAAGAAAGCCTTTGACTGTATTGATCATAACATATTACTAAAGAAGTTGCACGAGCAATTTGGCGTTCAAAATTTGGAGATGCAGTGGTTCCAATCTTACTTGTCGAAACGCAGTCAAGTCTGCGTGGTTGATGGCTATACATCTTCAGCCAAAAAAATTATATGCGGAGTCCCACAAGGATCTATTTTGGGACCCCTCATGTTCTTATTATATACTAGAAATACATGCATGCAGCAACCCCTCGCTATTTCAAACCAAGTACACAATTTCCTGAGTTAACCTGACCTAAACTTATATTATGAAATGACACAAATGAAGACTCAAATCAGTCTTATTATATTTTACTGAGTATATTATAGCTAATATTTCCATCATTAAGTACAAAAATAATCATAAAGCTAGTGTAAGTAAACATTGCCCGTTCAATTTTGCTGCATTATATCATGCCAGCAATTAAGTAACGGTTCAAAATCGACGTTTTAAACGATTAAAACAGTACAAAACCTTCACAGACAAAGAAAAAACTTCAAATGTTATTTTATTCTGTAATTGCAGTCGACACCGGCGGCTAAAAGTTTTATTTATACTTTATAAATATAGTGTGTATTTTTTATACCAAAATTCAAATTACAATTTCAAAAACACTTTTTGAAGTTAAAGCAAAGGTGTAAAAGCCTTTCACAGCATGGCGAGAAATTTTGGACACGCACGCGCGGTAGATACACAGACTTCGAGAGATTCA